TCATATTTATTTGTTTTTTCTCCAATAAACATGTCAAGAGTTTTTAAACCAATGTTGTTCCATTCCACCAAGTAAATATAAATCTCAGAGACTGAAAACAAGATTTTCCCTCTGAAGAAGAGGAAGAGCAGGAGGAAGAAGAAGAGACAAAGAGGAGAAGGAATAAGTTGAGGACAGATGATGAAGAGGTAGTGGAAGTAGAACACCAAGAAGAAAACATCAACTAGTGGTGCTACAAAAGACACAAACTTTCTCATACACGTTTATTCACTTATGTCTTTAGTGCTATCTTTTTGATTTTGCCCTACCCTCTTCTCAGCTGCAATCTATTGGCATTTACAATACTTTTTTTTCTTTCTTCACCTTTTCCTAAGATCTCTAATAGAACAATAAAAAAATTGCTACCCATTTTCATTAAAACTTTTGGAGCCATTCTTAAGAAAATGTTTGAACATATCTGAAAATGCGCAATTTGAAGCTCATTATCTCCCAAAACGTTCGAATTTTTGAGACACTTCACAAGAAACTATTTGAAGCAAATATACTCAAATGCTGAAATGTATACGAAATGCCTGACATGTAAATATTGATGATTCCAGAAATATTTCAAAATTTTACATTTATGTAATTAAAAAATAAAAAATTATAAATTTTATATCAAAGTAACATTTATATCATTGTATTCACTGCATTTATTATCCGTACAAAAAAAGGAACCATTTGCTAAAACATGACGTTTGAGCATTTCTGACAATGCACAATTTTGAGAATCATTTTCACATAAAACTTTGTGAGTTCTCAAGAAACATCATAAGCAGGGAACAGATTTATATGAACTAAAAATATATACAGTCTGTCTGGGGAAGAAACATCAAAAATAAGCTCATAAAACAATTTAAAGCATATTTTGTCTAATAAACTACATGAATATTCCTAATGGATAAGCCTTTTTAATATTATTTAACAATGACTAAAAATACATGAAACTTTAAATGCATGTTGGCTATTGAGAAACTGTCAAAATATGTTCCTATTCTATTAACTAAGTCACATTAAAGATCTGGTAGGTATTAACAAGGGCTACACAGTAAAAACAAGATTATTGTCAACCAGTCAATTTATTCAGTCAAAAATAAAAATGCACTAATTTATCACAAGTTGTAAATATTTAAGGCAAAACATCAACTGCTTGTACATAATATTTTTAGAATTTCTCACTCATATTTTTACTTTACTACACACAATTCCAAGCACTCACACATGCATTCATTAGATACTTATTGTTATATACACATTTTCATTATTTCCATGAAAAATAGATGAAATATACAATTACAATTTCTCAAATTATACACAAATAGCATACAAACAAATCTTCAATGTATGTGAAATTGCCATACACATCAAAATTTCCAGATGCCCGTCATGCAATGTCATTTTAACCCCACAAGGCATAATTTTTATTTTTTAACAATAATTGAATCGTTTTTCTAAAACCAGCAAGTTTCTTGATCTCAGTCTTCTGTGAATCTGAATGCGCCCTCACCAATTCTATGAATTCATATTAAATAAGGCAAAATTATTTTATCCTCTTGACAGTTCCCAGATTATTTATTGTACATTTGTATCACAGCCATTAATATTGAACATTAGGTGAACATGAGGTACAGAGATATTACACAATTATATGCTTAACTGAACATTGTCCTTGATATGCACAGAATTCAGTGTTCTAGAGAAGATGAACTGTTCCAAGAGCCTTCCACTTTGGTTTCCTATATGGCCATAAAATTGATTTGGGACCCACGTGGAGCTCAGCTCCTCTTCTCCCGTTATCTCCAAATGGTTTCCTTTAGAGAAGGTATTTATCCCACTTCTTTGCATTTGGTTTGTTCACTTGGAGGGTGTCCTTTGATATGCTGCGCAACAGCCCCATCCACGAAGCGAAGAGCCAACTGCAATAAGCGATCGCTGGTGCTACCTTGACGCAATGCAAGCACTTCATGCACGTGGCCCCGGCAGGTGGAAGCCAGTGCTGCTGCGCATGCACGGAACTGTGGGTGTGAGAAACCCACACTGCGTTTCTTTAAAGCTTCAGCGACCGCCCACAACAATTTCTGAAACACATTTACATTACATACATTTAGATAAGAGAAACGTTGACAGGTAAGAAAACTCGACAGAAATTAGTGGCAGAGACAAGAATAAACAAATAATTTAAAAAATATATTAACTGGAATTCAGTACATTACTCTTTAAATTGGCTACTATTCCACTAGTGAAATTAATACCAATAGTGTTACACTGTACATATAAAATGCCCCAATCAGGGCGGTGTATCTCAAATCATTTATCATCTTTCTATCCATTTTTTCTTACCTCTTCTCCCTACTGGTCAACCATAAACTGTAACATCTATCTTAGCAGATGGAATGCATCGATCGCTATGTTGATGTCCTATAATATAACCTCTTTCATTTTGACATTGCTTCCAGGTATTTTCAATATTTGGCACATTTTGGAACTCTTTTGGACGTCATTTCATTCGAAGAATAGTCGTATTAAATCCCAATCGTGCTATGGAAAGTCTCTAATAAATCTTCCCTTGCTTCACGACTCTGGGATTTATCGACAAATGCAAAAGCTTTTGTGGTGTTACTAATGATAAGCATTACCTTGATATTTAGATAGAAATGGAACATACAGAAATATATGAAGTACCCCACAAGCAACATTTTTCTTTCTGCTTCACTAAAAGTGCTCATATACAGTGTATAACAGTCTTCTTTGTACAGTGTAAATGTTGTAGGGAATTCATGGATTATTACATAGAAAATACTCTTCATTTTTTATTTAATTATTTACCATGAATGTATAAAGAAAAATTTGAAACAAATTAGAAATAACTCCATAATTTATATAAAGAAGCATGAGATTATCAAATAAATCTGATATGCACAGAAATCAGTGTTCTAGAGAACTGTACCAAGATTAGTGTTGTGTCACCTTAAATGTGATGTTTGCGGATTAGTGTGTTTCACAATGGGAAAAGGAAAGAACTTAGCAGGGACGAAGGAAATCATTGTCCCTTTTGGATTACGAGGCTATTCATGAAGAGAAATTGACTGCAGTGTGTACAAACCCCGTTCTTTTCAATCAGCTACATGTTAAATAAGTTTATATACAACGATTCAACAAAGAACCTACCCAGAAAAGCCAAGAGAAGCTCAATGACAGGGACAAACGCGTCTTAAACAGGTGATGAGAATCACAACATTAAGTGCTCCCAACATAGGCAAAATTATGAAACCAATCATACAAAATAAACTATCAAACCAGACAATTCGCAGAGAAATGTGGAAGTATGGCTATCAAGAGCACAAAAGAGGCCATTCATAAGTAGAAAAAACTGACTTGCCAGAATTACATTCTGCAGAGAGCAAGAAAGTAAAGATACGATGTTCAGGAATAATGTTATTTGGTCAGATGAAATGAAAATAATTCTTTATGGTTCTTATGGATACCGAAAGGTATGGAGAAAGGGAAACATAGCCATCAAAACTTCAAAGAACACAATTAAACATGTATTGGTTGATTTGAAGAAAAGGTGTCAGTCACTGGAACAATTAAAGTGTTGTGGCAGAAGAATGGGGAAAAACTAATGATATGAAGTGCATTCAATGCAAAGACGATGCAAAGCAGGAGATCTCAAAGCTAAAGGCTAGAAGTCAGGGTATTAAAGATTTTCGTCTGAATACATTCTTTAATTTTTTGATAGCATACAAATAAGACTGTTGCACGGTAAAAGCAAGATTTTTGTTAAATTATTTATTTGCTACATACGAGGAAAATTTTGGGAAAATAATTGATTAATAATTCCCCGTACACAAGGCAAAATTACGAGAAAGCCTACTTACATTTTCGAGACCGAACTTAATTTTCCAAAAGCTTGTCTTTAAAAAATGTTTCATAAAAATTTTCTAGAAAAACTCAAACTTTTCTGTGAAAATGAGCTCAAATTTCATAGTTTACAAAAACGGCTATTTTCTTTCATAAATGTTTCCAAATTTCTTCTCAAAACCGGGCATGCTAAATTGCCACTTTGATGTATTCTTATGCCTTTTCAAAAAGGACACAAAGTGTATTTTTCTTTTAAATATCTCTAGTGCCGTTAATATTTATAACACAGGCAATTTGTAAACATATTGCAACTAGGGAGTTCATTTTGTGTCATTCTGTAGCACTACTAGTTTAACATTTTCTGTCCAATTGCATATAAAACATAGTTTTCAGAGGAAAAACTTAATTAATTTAAATTCAATTAAGGTGTGCAGAATGGTTGAAAGAAAATGTACATACAAGAAATTGTACATCAATACATTGAGAATTTAAATTGTAGAAAAGGATATATATCAAATTAACCTCTTCCTATTTTCAATAGTAAATTAAATTTAAAATAACTTTCATTATATTTCATATCCATTTAATCCTTTTCCTGTTCTAGGTTTTTCTCATGGGCCATCTGCATTACCATTAATTTTAAATACAAACTACGTGCACACTTCTAGTTTTTCAAAATATTGTGCGTGACTTTTTTAATGAGCTGACTTTAGAACATTTTTTTGTTCAAGGCAAAAATCTCTATCCTTAAATTTGAAGTTTTCAGATGTAAGTTTTAGCAATTTTTGAAAATATGAAGAGTTCAATGAAAATGAACCTGCGCCATTCTTTTTAAGCGTCATCTCTCTTTTAAGCATTCTACGTGCTTTCCGTGTAAAAACAATAATAGAAAAAATTGGAGCAGTTTTTGAAAAAATGTAAAGTTGCATAAATTTCAAAGTCCAAATTATGCAAAAACTACTTTTAAAAACAAATTGCACAATATATATTTCAAAGAGCCGAGTTTTTAGAAAAAAATTGTTTAAAGCAAAAATTACTATTTTCAATTTTGTAATTTTTAAATTTAATAATGCGCAATTTCCGCAAATACAAGACTTTGCGGAAATCAGAATTCCACAACTTGTTTACCGCCCTTTAATACTTGAGGAGAAAATGTAAAGAAAAATGTTGTGCCATTTGAGAAAAAAAAAATTAAAATATTACAATTGACAATTCACGCAAAAACTATTCTAATTTTTGGAAATCCTACATGACCAATTTCAAAATCTGTCTTTAAAAACAGATTTCATTAAGAAAAAAAAATATACATCATCAAATATTTTAATTGCAGGGAAGACGCCCAAAAATTGACTTGTGGCAGTTTTCCAAAATCACCACTTCTATCAAAAATGAGACCTCCACCCACTCTCTTAAGCTAGCCGAAAGACAAAGATTTATTCAACAAAATTTGGCGCCCTTTTAGAAATTTTTAAATGTCCAGAGGCTTGGGGTAAAGCACTTCCTCCCTCCCATCAAAACTAGTGATGCTAAACCAGCACAACCCTTTCTTGCCTCTAGTACCAGTTATGTAATAATATTATACCTCAATTTCTGTTTAACACATGTTCTGTGTACACATCTGCAGTGAATGAGTGCTGTCAACAAAGCGTGCATGCAGCGATGGGTGCTGCCAAAAATGGGCATATATTTTTTTAATCCATTCTTGCTAAAAGCACCAGTTTTTTGCCATAAATGGAACTGTTTTTCAGACCTGTGTTGTGGTTTTATGAAAGAATTCCTCTAAGGTGTACTTTATGGAACACTATAGCTTGTTTCAAATACATACTTTTCTTTTTCGCAATGTCTCCAATATATTTTAAGTTCATTCTTAATGTTTCATTTTCTTTTAAATGAATACTTACAACGCAGCGAGGCATTCATTTTTGTTCAACCACTTTACATAAAATATCATATTTTCAAAAAAAAAATTGAATATGATGCATTATTTTCAAGATTTATTTTTGATAAACATACTTTATTAAGCAATAATATGCATTTTAAAATTGTACTTATCGCACAAGAATATTAATATTTTTTGTGTATCATTTACACAGATATTAATATTTTTGAAAAATTCAACATGACCTATTTGAAGATCTGCTTTTTATAAACACATTTCATTAAGAAAAAATGTATCTTCACAATTGTAGATTCAGGAAATTTTTATAATTTTTTTTTTAATTTCCGCAAAATCACACACGAGATCTGCACCATTCCCTTAAACGTCCTTTATGCTAAGTTCCCAATTTAATCCAAAAAGTTGTGCGATTCTTAAGAAAAAGTGGTTTAATTAAAATAACAATTGCCTATGTTTAACAAAAAATGTCGCAAAATGACTTGTGTTTTTGAAAAATTGAATATGACCTTATTTAAAGCTCTGCTATTGATGCAAAAATTTCACTTACGGAAAAAAATTTATTATCATAATTGTAGTTGTAAGAAGACGCCGAAAAATTTTGAAGTTTTTCAATTCTTTTAAATCACAGTTTTCAACCAGCATAAGACCTGCACAAGTTTCTCACCTGTTCAGTTAAATATCCTTCAGACTATCCAACAACAAAATTTAATCAACATCGATGGTGCCTTTTTTTGAAAATGTCCCAGTGGTGTCATGTAGAGTACCCCGAAAATTAAAATATCGTTTTCAAATTCAAGAGGCCGGGCATCGGCCAGATCGCTTGGAGAGTATCCATTCTGAAGAATATCGGCTGAACAGTTTACTCACTTGTGTTGTTCACAGACAAACAGACAGATGCTTAGCCGTTTAAAGACTTTTCGGTAACAAGGACTGGATTCTGGCGACTAGTGTGTTCTAGATGTGTTAGAAGATTTTTTTCTTTTTTTGACCTACCGGATGGCGAAGTGCAATCTAGATTACAAAGGAAAGGTAGTTTCCTTGTACGCAAGTGCTAATGTAAATTTAGGAGATAGAATGAAAATGTGAATCATTTTCATTATTATTTTTTTTACAATAATTATTTTTAATTGGTGATTTTGCGTCATTTCTTGTGATTCTACCTACTCTAGACAGATTTTGCATACCTATTATAGAAAAATTAATGCCTTCTTGCCTGCCTATTTTAGATAAAATAAATTAAGGAACTTTCAGGCTCTAGTTGTGACGGTCTAAAATCGTGTATGATTGGAGGGCTACATGCGACATAAAGCTATAGCAAATTGCAACCAGAGTCCTTCAAATCAATTTTTTTTCTCGTTGTTTGTACTCGAAAAGAGGATTATTTTCTTCGACAATACAACTATCCTCATTGATCTTTGACTACCATCTGGATGTAACAGAACAAGAGGAAAATTTCCAGAAACTGCTGTGCAAAAACGAGCTTAGCTCCGCAAAATGTCATAAGAAACTTATGTTGGAGGTGATTGAGGTGTTGGAGGCGATGATTTTTAGCAGCAGAAATGAATCCACTTACTTAAATGTCGTTATATATAAATGCGGTAAACTCCGACACTGTGAGACCAATCTCCATGAAAGTTGACACTTCTATGTGTTTTATCACCGAGAAGGTTGATGTCCTGTTAATATTGTCGTAACTCTACTACATGGTGGTGTAGAACAAACTTGCGCTTCATTTTAATTCAATTTCCATTCAAACTGCGCTCGACCTGCTTGCTTCATTATTGCTGATCATAGCCGTGTGTCACAAAGCAACGCCCAGGAGAACCAGACGCTTCCGCGAGAGACAGTGAGGGAGTGGGAGACAGTAAGAGAGACAAAATGACCTGGAGAGAAAGACAGATACAGAGAAAGAGAGAGGGAGTCCCAGAGAGACAAACAGAAGTGGAGCCACAGAGTGAGTCAGACAGAGAGAAAGAGACAGGGTCATGGAGAGACAGAGTCAGAGAGGGACAGAGAGACAGAATCAGACAGTCTGAGCCAGGGACAGAGAAAGACAGTGAGAGAGACAGAGGACAGTGATGCATGTAAGAGAAAGAGAGACAGAGGACAGCAATGCAAGAGAGACAGACATGGAGAGAGAGGGACAAAGAGGTAGAAAAGAGAGACAGGGACAAAGAGGCAGAGAGAGAGACAGAGATGGACAGATGCAGACAGAGAGAAAAACAAACAGAGAAACACACATGTAGAGAGACAAACAGAGCAGAGAGACAGAGACAGATAGGAAGAGAAGCAGATAGAGACATAGACATTTTCTTTTTCCACTATTCAACAAAATCTAAGATGTCCCCTCCCCTAATTATCGTAAGGATCCACCCCTGTCTGCACATATACTAAAAAGTAAAAATAGATTGAGATACTAAGCATTACAAGAATGTATACGAAATGTGAAAATGTTCAGCCTTCTTAAAATTATTGACAAATAATTTTAATGACTGACTAAATCACCATTTCAGGTTATCCTTATTAAACTCATTTTGGCATCAGTCATACACATGAAATTTCTTTATGCTTTAAAGACTATTTTTGACAGGTTCTAAAACAGCTAAACATCACCAAAACCTGCATCGCTCTGGGAAATGTACTTTTCTGCCAGCCTCATGGGCTGGAGCATCAGCTGTTAATGCCTCAGTGTCGGTTCGATGTGTGCAATAGGTGGAGTTTTCACAAGTAATTGTTTCGATGTTATCACAAAACAATAATATTGTAAGAACTGATACAAATAATGTCAATTTTGTGTGCATGTGAATTAAGTCATGAAGTAGATGTAAACAGACAGGCCATAAATACTGAATTTCAAAGAGCGCAAACTTACATTCATCTCAGTTGCAACAAACTAAATGTTAATCACATCATGTTAATCATGAATGTATATAATATTTCTTTAAAAGGAAGCTCTAAAATGTACTTTTTTTTTTGCATTCTAGCCTCATACAAATAAAAATAACAGCTCCAGCACAAGATTACCATTGTTTGTGAAAAGAATTCATACCATTTCTGCATGTTACTCAACAATCTTGCCCTCCAAATGTCGTCAATGGATGTCCAAAAAATCTCTCACAAAACAGAACAGACTGTAGCATACCCAAACAATAGAAAATAATTCCAGATAAAACAAATACCTTTTTGTACCTCACCTTTTTGTGGGTGGAACTCAGTTCTGACTGTCGAGAACTGCTCTTGTTGGTAACAGGAAATGCATTTGTGTCTGTATCACTAAACAATCTCCGACGTGGAAGTCTTTCACACATTTCCTCCTCACTCTCAGCACGAGTTCGTTTCCGACTAGCACTTGCACTTGCGCTTGCGCTTTCTCCATTACTCGTTCCTGGAGGCTTGCTTTGGCTTTCAGTTTGGTCACTCACAAACAAGGCACGTTTCGAGCGAATGGCAGAAGCACTTGATGGACGAAACTTTGAAGGAACACTTGCTTTTTTCTCTTCAGTTGGACTTTGAAACAATGCACGCTTTGATGAATTTAGTTTCATAGCTTGTGCATCCCTTGACCTGTCAGCAAGATTCTTTTTTTGAGAGGAACGTTGTTTTCTACTCTCCTTCCTCCTGTGAAAATTGGATACAATTAAAAGCATTTACATTTTTTACATACAAAATGCACAATGACGGAGAATCATAATCCACATTCATGCTGGTTTTGAGATTCAACTTGTTAAATATTTGTTGAGCAGAAGCAAACCCATGGAGGACCAAGGCAATTAGTCATGTGTCACCTTACAATAAGGTGAGATGTGTACGTCAGTAAATTGGAACAAGAATACGATTGATCAGAGTATTGTGGTATAGTCAACATGAAAAACACACAATTCTGACTAATGTTTATCATTCACTGACCCTTTCAAAAATTAATTATTACCCAGAATTCACAATAAATCTTCCATTGAAACATTGTAATCACAAATATATAATCAAATTAGAAGATGGCCTAGTGGAAAATGAGATTACACACTGTATACTTCTAAACCTCCAAATGAGCATTTATAAAAACCTAAAATTTCCAAAATAGCCCTGTTTTGAGAAAAAGGAAGGATAATTTCAGTGCAAATCATATGCTCTATTTAAAGGGCAACAGTGGCACTCAAAGTAATTTACAGATTATTCAGAAAAATAACTTCAAGTAAATATGCCATAATTTAATACATTAGCACAAGAAGGATAAAATATTGTAATTATCTCAAATAAACCTAACCACATGTTTAACATTCACAATTTTTGGCATGTTACTAACCCTCATCAAGAGAAGATAAAAAGAATACTCTAATAATCCCAAATAGGTCATAATATTTTTATTTATTCACATTCACAAATTGCCTCCATCACCTACAACAAATCTCAATTTTAACAACCAATTAATAAAAATATTTTTCTGAAAAAACAAAGGCAATACTCCTTCAAAGGCATATCTCATCTTCTTGGCGTCCATGTCAGAACAATAAGCAACACAAAAGGTAGCTTTTCTGTAATGGTTTATTACTGTAAGAACAGAATTATGTCTGCCATTCTTTCCAATCTCAAGAAACATGCATTGTTTGTTGAGAAATACAGCAAAGGAACATCATTAAAATTTAACTAAAGTGTTACCCTCCAAAAACAATTTTAAAAACACGATTCAAAGTTAACTTTGGAAATTATTTCCAGACATTATTCTCTTTTCAAAAGAAATACTTTTAACAGCAAATCTCTTCCAAGACAATCTTTTTTTATCACTGTCATTTGCATTTTATAGGTAAATTTAAAACAATTCTAAAAAGGATAGTACTAACCTGCCCTCCACCAAAATGGTACGCCTCTCAGGTGCTACATGAGGCAAGGTAGAGTGCAATCGGGCACCATCGTTCAAAAGAGCTGCACTGCTAAATGTGCGATGTCGCCTTGCCAAATGGCTTAAGCGCCGTCCTGGTGACAATCCTGTTGGTGCTTCTGTACCAGATCGACGAGCTGTCAGTGTCCGACGCTCACGGCGAGGTACAGGCAGAGTAAACGAGGACCAAACAGTTACCGAGGAAGCTGTCTCTGTTCCCACACACCGAGCCAACAGTTTCTGACACAAGCTTTCAAACTGTTCAGATATGCTGCCATGGTTATAGTGAATGCTTGGGTATTGCAAGCACTTCACTTGTGGCCAAGGCGTAGAGGCTGCTTCCTGATACCAAGGCATCTGTGAGCTGTAACAAGAGGTTGCTGATGTGTCTGAAATTACCCAATGAGCAGGGTCTTTCAGAGCATCTAGCATGTCTGAGGCACTGTGAAGTGGCATTGTGACTGCAGGTGGAGGTGGGGCACCCATGAGTAATTCCTGAAGTCGGCCTACTCTCTTCTTTTCCTCAGAAAGAACTGCATTGTACTGTGGAGAAGGTGCCAAAGCAGCTTCTATTCCTCTGTTCACTTCATCAGTAATGGAAGAACTTTCATCATCAGATGAAAATAATAATGGTGAACAATTTGATTGCCGCCACCCATCAACTAATTCAGAGGGATGAATTTCCAAACTTTCATTCAGACATAAAGTACTTTGTACTGTTACACAATTTTCAATAACACTATGTTTACTAGGTAGCACATCACTGTTCTCATGACAGAATGAATTAGTCAAATAACTCACTTCTAGGTCCTCTGCAGTTTCTTCAGTAAAATTCAAATTAACATTGTCTACTTGAGGATGAAAAATAATATTATTACTACTGGAGGAAACATCATTTATACAAGGATTTAGTTCATCTCTCAGATGGGACTCTTGCTTTGGCACAATAATTTTATCTCTTTCAATATTGTTGGAACAATTCTCTTCTACAAGAGAACAAGAGACGTACTCTGAAGAACTCAATATTTCTTTTCCATTAGGACACAAATCATCTACAACTTTCTGAATAACATCATCCAATACTTTATTTTCCTCAGTACAGAAAAATGAAAGTCTGTCATTTTGACTTTTTTCTTCTAAACAGGGCAATAAACTAACTTCTGTAAAAGAGTTCTCCTCATTCAGTATTGGAAAGATTTCTTCAGATCTTTTAGCACAACCCCTATCCTTATCTTCACTGTTCTTATCACAATCATTGACAGTAATAATTACTTCTTTGCTTGGACTGGTAGAAGGAGTAATCCCTTTCGAACAATTAGTATTTTCCTCCTTACCTTCACTTAATACATTTTCTCCTGTACTTGTATTCACAATATTAACTGATTCGCTAGTATTACATATTGCATCAGTGTCTGACTCTCTACAGCACACTTGCTCTTCCTCTGGACAAGTAACTGAATTAGTCACATCACATTGATCGGATGGTAGAGACTCACCTTTGACATAAGGATTTTCTTGGTCATTTTCCTGTACAGGAGAAGAACACGCAACAGTAGGAGTATTACATCGTCGAATAATTATTGATAAAGGTTTGCTGCCAGCACAAACAGAATATTCTGGAGGATTTGGAAGAAGATTTGTTTGAACAGAGTTCGTCATTTCTCCTGAGGTTTCAGAGTAACTCTCATTCATGCTCCAATCATCTGATGTATAATCAACATCGCTAATATCATCGGAAAAATCTATAACTCTGAAACCACTAGTAACATTTGGTGCTTGCATTTCGTAAGTATCCAAAAGCGTTTGATATTCTAATAAATAATGTTTTGAAATTTTCGTCATCTGAATAACATCGATCATGTCAAACATTCTCCAGTCCGCTCCAAAATACTAAGGACACACGAAATGCACCACACTCACCTCACGACGAACAAAATTACAATCTCTCTTCTTTTAAACACTCGCGCACATTACGTTTATTAACGACACATTATCAGCTACATTTGTTTTCATCCAACGGAAAAGCTTCCCCCCTACACAAATCACGAATACAATGAATCATTCTTCAGTGTGACGATGAGGCAATCCGACGAGTTCACTCTTCGAGATCTTAATCATTTCTAGACTCTCATCCAAACCACCTCTCATTCCTCGTACCGCCTCATATTCGCATGCTCTCACATAACCACCCACAACATATCTTCACTTGCTTCACTAACCTCCGCCGCTTGGAGCTGGAGCAACGAAGATACGTACCGTAAAAAATTAAAACACGAATCCACTGCTGCCAATATTACGTACACATTGAATAGAGCGTTTTGGGAAACAGCATGATGAGAATTCAATTGATAATATTGGTATTACTGCGCAGCTGAAAACAAAGGAAAAGTGAAAGTCTTGTTTCGAGAACAAATCATTTTTGATCTGATGTTCAACGTAACGTCACGTTGTGAAAGACTAGGCACACACATTGCCAAAGAATTATTTTTTAAAGTAAAGTTTACCGAGTTCAGGTCCACGCTCTGTAGAAAATTAATAAGTAATGCATACAGAATAATGTGAATTGTGTTTTTAATAATGTATAAATATTTTGCAAACGAAAAGTTGATAATGTAAAAGTTACAAAACATAGTTTTTACAGTTCAACTCGTTCTGAAATAGATTCGCGTATAATTGTTCTAAGCATAAAAGCTTTAAGAACTCTTTATAACTCCGGCGTTAGGGGCATGGAGCATAGACAAATGTGTGGGGCTCTGTTATATGTATAAAAAAACGCCGGCAGCTAATCACGTTATCACGCACTTCAGCGACATTTCGCGGTGAATGAAGAAACTTATCTCGACTTTTTCGGCCAATAACGATTCGCTTACCCCTAATTGACCGTCGAGTTGGGAATTGAATATCTTATTTTCTCTATGATTTGACTGTACTTGACCAACTCCATCCTTGCTTTAGAGTGTGTGCGTAAGTATAGAGAAGAAGGAAGTGGGATAGGTTACTAATAAAGATTGTAAGAAGATTTGACTAGGGATTTAGAGACATGATGGGGATATGTAGGAAAAACACGGTGCATCACGCATTTCAGCGGTATCACGCGGCCAATGAAGGAACATATCTCGGATAACCAGAGCATGTGAATTTGAGATCTGGTGAGGGCAGCACTATCGCCTGAACGTCTAGGTGGCAAGTTTCAGATGTTTCCTGCCGCGAACTAATGGTTAAAACACAGTATACATCTCGATTTTCTTTTAGTACATTGAAATCATGCTTCGTTGGAGGTTATTCTCAGCCCATTACGATTTTAAAACATTTTTGTGTTGTGTAGTTACACTTTCACGAATAGTATGTTATTTTTACTTTCTCATATATGTACGTATATAGACGGAGTAATATTCGTAGTATAGAGAAAGTTATGTAATGATGCGCGAAAAACGGCAGATTTTCAGAAGAAAAATTAATTGCCGAGCCCTGCTAACGAAAAGGATAAATCCAGTTTAGTAAATTAAGAAAAAATTTAAAAAATCCTGAAAAAAGATGTGGAGTAGCCAGAATCCCTGTTTTGTGGATCCTTGTATACCGAAAAATCGATAACGGCAAAACGTCCGTCCGTTCATCCGTCCGCCAACCCGTCCGTCCGTCTAGTGTATGTGAACAACACTAGCGCCTAAACTAGGTGTACAATTTTTTCCAAACTGAATAAACACCTGTCCATTTGGCCTGAGTCAAAGTTCTGCGATAATGAAAAACATTCATTAATTTTTTAGTTGCTTTACTTGAAGCCTCACATATTTTTTCAAAATTTTCTCAAAATCTCTCTCCAATTTATTTCTTTAAATTTCTCGTAAGAATTAGAGTAAAATATACATAAAGGTGGCAGTTCGATTTCCACTGTAAACAAAACTGAAGACAGATTTTTTTCTTCAAATGAAAATCGTTGTTCATAATTAGTTCTTTCATTAAGAACACATTTGGAAACTTTCAGTCGTTTTCACGCAATATGTGCAATTTAAAAAAAACAAATACAATACTTTCTCAAAACAAAAAAAGCTTCAATTTTTTTCTTTAAAGTAGTAAGGTTAAAACGAAGGGTGTTCCATAATGTCCTTTGCCTTCTCCATACCTAATCATGTTATCCATACTTGGCCTACATCCAACTCCTTGGACTTATCCCGCACGATTCACACTGGGGCACCCAGTGTTGCCGTTTCACATGTACGCTTTACCGATAGATGGCATTTAAATTTCCGCTAAACGGAACTCACCGTTTTCCGCTAGAAAATTAAAATACCACTAAAATTAAAAATTATATATTTAAACATTTTTAAATATTTCCTTGGTTTCTCTCTTTTGCAATTCCATACAAATTAAAAGACATATGTATTCCAAAATATTTATTTCTCGTGAGTAATAACAGGAGAAGTATTTTTGAACGCAAGATGGATGAATCTCACCTGGTCCGGAAGCTCCCCAATAAAATTCAAATAATTTGAAAGTCGAATCTTGATAGGTTAAAATTTCGGTAATATGTACAAATTCAACGCCATTGGTATTCGATCTAAGATCAGTAACATGTTCTTAGAAAACATTTCCATGTATTTTTGTCATTTTCGTATTTTCATGGATTTCTCCAGATTCCATATAACTCGGCGAAAATTTTCCGCTAATCGCGACAGCAATTCCCCCCCCCCCGGTAAAACGTAACAAAATCCGATAAATCCACTAAAAGACAACACTGGGTGCATCATGCGATTCCTATCCACTAGTGTCACATTGTGACCTCTTTCTTGTGCCACACCTCCTTTATCTTTTCTATCTTTCTATATACTCTGTTTCCGCCTCGAAGCCATCAGATTGCGAAAGACTAGGGAGTCTTTTATTTCTCAACTTCTTTCATTTTGCTATCCTATTTTGTTCTTTTTTCCCTTCCATGGGGAGAGGGGCTTCATTTAAGCCGTGGTAAAGGCAACCTTTCTAGAGCAAGGGAAGCCGAAAGACAAATCCCCTGGTCCTCCAGGTTGGGGGTTGAGCGTATGGGTCAGCAACCCTACCTTGGGAAAATGCTACATTAGCTGGAATAAATACAGCCTCGGAAATCATAATTGGACATCGACAATAGCAACGAAAACGAACTTTTTCTTTTGGATCGTGGAATATACAGACTGTTTCAGAAATGTTTGAGGAGATTGTTGAGGACATTAAAGACGAGAGATTGGAATTTGTCGTTCATATGGAAACGAAAAAGGTAAAGGACAAGACGAAATTAAGGAATATTACCATTTGTGTAGAAAAGGGAGAGATAGCAAGGGCAGGCGTTTCTTTATTAGTAAAGAAGTGAAAAAAAAAGGTTCCAAATTGGGAAGCTATTGTAACGAATATTGTATCATCAGCCGGAATTCGCTGTGCGGATTGCGTCATCTGCTGGCGCCCCCCCCCCCGAACTGAACGGTTCCGGTTTTTTTGTGAGTCGCGTTGAATTGTGGCGCAAGATCCGGATATATCGAGACGGGCGCCAGCCAGGTATAAATTCGCCGCTGCCGGCGGCAGCGAATCAGTCAGTATGCAGTCTAGATCAGTGTGAAGTGGAAGCTGAGCTGTTAACTATGCATTGCGGTGAACAATGGTGCAGTAGGTGTACAGCAGTCAGCAGTCTGAAGTGGAAGCTGAGCTGTGAGGTGCGCATTGCGGCGAACAGGGGTGCAGTAAGAGAACAGCGGCGCAGAAGACTGTGGACAGTTCATCGGACAGTGGTAGGTGCATCGGACTGTGCGATTGTGTAGAAGTGAACAGTGTAAATAAATAATCGAGAGAACTGACTACAAATGACTCCCTTGTTACGGAGAAGAAGGACTTTTTGAAGACTTAATTGGGGTGATGGATAGTGACTCTACAACGGAAGAGAGTGGGATTGTGAGGCAATGTGAAGAGGAGGATTGGCAAAGGATATGTTATGGGATAGAACACCTTTCAGAATGCCTTTCGAAAAGCAATTCCTGCATAACTAAAAAAATATGTCGCGTCAAGGCGTTTTAATGCCTTTCTTATTTCTGTGTCATTATGAACGCCAATGATTTTGTGATTGTATTTGAGAGATTGTGCAAATAATTATAGCCTTCATTCTTCACATTACAATCATGGGAAAACACTGAACACTTTTCTCAGCTCAATAATTTATTATGTTACCTGTCAACCACCTGGTGTTTTCATATTTTGAGGTATTAAAGCAGCGGAAATACTCCCTTCGCTTTTCTTTGTGCGAACATCTGAAGTCATGAAGTTCCGGAACATGCCTCCTTATACAAATAATTCACTTTTCACCACAAAATTACAACTGAATATGTTTTAAATATCCTCGATTATACATGTGATTTTTGCCATAACACAGTACCTTTCCGCTATGTAGCAGAAAAGGCAGCACACAAACAGAACACGCAGCCAGAAATCATTTGCAGAATGAATAATTTACACATATCAAATAAATCCGCAAGTAAAATAACGTGGTATAGTGGAAGCCTGCGCTTATATCAGTGTGTTCGTTCGTATGCGATCACGTGCAAGCTTAGTACAACGCCGCCTTGGGTGGCGGTGGCCCTGGGATGCTCAACAGCTTTCGCCATACAAATGAAGCTTCCAAAAAGTCAAGAGCGCATGCGCGAACAGCCTAAAGCATTTAGATGGAGAACATCGACACTTCGGGCCGAGTTGTGGCGCCTACTACCTCCGTGTGTAAGTCGCGTTGTCTTTGTCAGCAACAGCAAAGTAGATTAAACAGTAAAAACTGCATGTGACATCTGGGGGAGATCATCGGCGCACGTTTTCTTGAGTTCCAGAATCCCTTCCTATCATTTTAACTATTAATAGTTGAAAGATGAGCAAAAGTTAAAAATAATAAAATTTGAAAAAGCGCAAGATTAGCAACATTTGGAAAACTATTTTTGTTCTCGAGTTATAGAAAACTTATTTGCAACGGCAAACAGCAGATATGATTTTTCTGCATTGCTAAAGAAATAGTAACTCGCTTTTACTTATACTCCTACCAATAGAAACAAAAGGAGATTTCAACAAAACGTGCGCACAGTGAAGCTACATTTATGTCTATAAGCAAAACAAGGGACCATCTCAGCATTTACTCAATGTAGGGAAACTGGTCAAAGATGGGATGATGTAGGGAAACTGATCGTACTGTAGGGACTGTAATTGTCGGACTAGTAACTGATCGTCAATGTAGGGAAACTGATCGAGATGGGGGCCATTAACCCGGAAGCGGAAGTACATTATTTGTTACAAGCGTATTAAGTCTTTTAAAAAAATATACAATACAAATGTAAACTAATTCAAAGTATTCTAACCTATAGTGAAGAGAGTTGGACCCTGACAGAATGTCAGAATCAGAAATGGATGGACTACAAAGGAGCTGCCGAATTATTCTAGAATGCAAAAACGGCGAGGACCTACGGGCTAGATAGAGAATGCTGGAAACGGAAAATAAGAAACCGCTGACAAGTGAAAACTCTGATAAAAGTAAAAAAAAAAAAACAAAAAACAAAAAAAAACCTAAATGAATATTTATCCATAGAAATGAATAATATTCCTTAATGAATTTTTTTTTAAACAGATTTCATTAAGTAATCCTTAGTTGTGGTAAGACACTGAAAAAATGTTTTGAAGCAAAGCAATTTTTGAAAAATTAGGGAATTCAAAGAAAATGAGACCCGCATCATTCTCTTACTCATTCTTCACACTATCCAACAGCAAAACTTAATCAAAATATTTCAGTTTGTAATTTGAATCAAATTACTTCATATGAAAATATGTTTAATATATATTTACCTAAAACAATATTTTGTACACACTTTTTTATCATTTAAATTTTAATAACTAACATTCCTAGAGGTAAATATTGTCATGAACAAAAATACTTCAAAAAGCCATTCATTTGTACTAAGAAATTTTAAAAAACCATTAAGAACTTAAGATAAGACCCAGCAAAGTATTGGTCATTATTTCTATTTCCTACATACTGTTTATAAAACTAAATAGAAATGTAAAATTTGATATTCTGAAAGTCTCGAGAGGTATTTGTGGTCAAATTTTCAAGAAAATATTATGTCAAGTTGGGAACCTTGTCAATGAAACTTGGAATAACTCACAATCCTAACAAAATAATTGCAATTCATTAATATAGCTCTCGGAGCCAGAGCAATATCAAACTTATTGAAATTAATGAGATTCCCATGACTTTTATTGACCAATTGGGATACCTTCATGTAGCCATTCAGGTAGCAAAAGCACTAATTCAGTGCTAATGATGAGACAAAATGAAAATCAGAGTATTAAAGAAATTATTAAAGATGAGAATTAAAAAGAGTACGCTTGCTCTAAAAGAGAAAAACTAGATCAAGGTTGTCCAAGGCCGCATGTGGCCCACAGGGCTCAGGAATTTTATTATTAGTAGGGCTAGGATTTTGATGAAACTACACAAAAATGCCCTAAAAGTGCATTCACGCCTGAAATGTTTTCTTCTTCAGGTCAGCCAATAATTTGCCATGATAAAATATTTGGAATAAAATGAATACTGTAAAACTTAATTAAAAGTTAAAGTTAATATATTATTTATTATAGAGTAATATTTTATTAATATTGATTATAATTTTTTATTATTATTGTTTACTTACAATTTACTATGATATCAAAAATGTTTGAATTTTGAGTTGCAATGGGCCACAAACACCGTTTTTCAAATACAATTGATTGACGATTTTCAATTAGGAGACTTTTGTACACAGAAATACTACATTCAACATCACTGATGCAATAGGTGCATATTGAAAAAAGGAATAACACTTGTATTCAACTCTGTATTCTTGTTTTGAAATGAAAATATTTCTCCACATAAAACCGAACCACCAGTGTTGTAACCCGTATTTTCCCTCTGAACTTTTTTTATTTTTTCTAGTTGTCAGGATGTTATTTTGAACTTTCTTGAAGATAGCAATTTGGTCAACCAATCTAGCACTGGATTCTTCTAAAGAAGCTAAAGCGAGTGGATGGAATCCAAAGTTAGATTTTATACAAGAAAATTTACCTACCATTTCTGGGTCAGTTAAGAGTTCCTAAGCTGCTTTTATACTCATTGATTCACAACTATCAAAAGAGTTTACTATTTCTCTCAAAGAAAAGTTTTCACAATAGTACACACAGGTTTCTATCTAGTTTCTCCATCTGGTAAGGACAGGAGATGGTGTTAAGGACCACCAGGGGCATAGGACTTAAAAGATGACACACTCAATGGGATTTCACAAACACCATCTTTACGTTTGCAGTTTGTCCACAGAAGGAAAAAGACCTAGAACTTCTTCAGCAATACAACGGGATGCATGAGCAAGGCATGTTAAGTGAACAGTCTTTGAATATAATTCAAAGGGCATGACTCTTAACACCACTCCATATTTGCGCCGTGTGTGAACACACATTGGCGCTCGGCAGATGGATATTTCATTTCGACTGATACTGAGAATGCAGACCAGACACCTCTTTTTTCAAAGCAACCCTGCACCATCATCCTGGCGATAACGGCACACGGACACAAGTTGCCACCATACGTGATTTTGAGAAGGAAAACTATGCTGAACAAGAGGTTTCCCCCAGGATAATAGTGCGATTTTGGGGGAAATGGATGGATGAAAACATCAAGGACTGAATGCAGTGGACTGGAGCACTGCAGAATCAATGATCGATGCTAGTTTTGGACAGGTTAAGAAGTAAACTTAAGGAGAACAACAGGGATTTTCGTAGTGATAGCAGGTGCGCATTGACGAGATGCTGCAACACCTTGGTTGTAGGCTATTAAATGGCCATTTACAAATAGAGAGGCGGTGGTCAACATGTTGTGACGTTTTGTTTGTACTGTACGCTGGGGCACCAAAACGAAGCCACAACTCGACCGCGCAGTTCTCAAGAAAGGTCTCTTGGGTGACAAAAGGTGGAGTCTTGGATGTATGCGGCATCAATTTGGCAGACGAGTTGGCAGACCAAAGTTTATAAATTGTGTGCAGCTATTCAATATAAGGTATGATGACAGGAGCGAGGAATGATGTCAATATGCGAACTTTTCCAGCGATTGAGAAAGTTGATCAACAAAATAGGGGAGAAGGATTAAAAAAGCATCATCATGGATGCAGTAATTAATGTATTTATTTATATGAATTTTTGATATTATGAACATTTGTGAAAGAATAATTTGTTACTTTTGAACATTATTATTTTTCTTCCAATGATTTTTTAAAAGAAAAATCTGTGTATAAGCAGAACCCCCATTTCATGAGTTACTTTTGAGAAGGGAGAAAAGAAGAAGAAAAAGTGCGAGTGTAAAAGGTATGCTTATATACAAGCAAATACATTATACCCTGACCTGGTTTGGAGCAAAGAAAGCAATCCATAAAAGCATATCATTAAAAATTGGAAAATCATATTCTTGTTACAAGATACAGGGAAATGAGACTACCATAACTCATTTCACGCCAAGTGGCTAACAATTTTAAACACTAAAATTAAACATTTACCAGGTGTTATTTTTGTTTGGTTTGGTTTTATTGATGGTGTAACTAATAAGAAGGTGACTGACAGCAAACATACTTTTTTCATGCTGGTGTTGAATTACCGCCCAATGTACAAAAGCAGAAAGATAAGAACTAACATATTCCTATGCCAATCTCTTTGTGCTTGACATATAACTCACATGACAGGAGTGATTTTTAGTAACAAGCAATAGCATCAACTTTTGCATTTTCCTCTCATTTGAACAAACTTGGAAAGAACAAAAAAGAGTGCAAAATTCACTCTGCACAACACACTAGCATGCCTGTAGTGAGGCCGTCCGCAGAGTGCTGTGCTGCCTTTCAGCACATTTATTGAAACAAAAAACAACAAAACGTTATGAAGTAATTACAGAGTTATCAAATTTAGACAGAAATTGTTGAAAATTTAAAAAATATCTTCTCAATATTACCTTTAATGTAATCCTAAAATCCCAAATCATCAAGAACTAATACAAAAGAATATTATGACCTAAACACAAAGCAATCATGATTGCATCAGCACTCTCTTTGACAGGTCTTATGAAAATTCCGCAGATATACCTAACAAGTTTAGCAAAACAGTATACTATTCTTCTCACACCCTTTCATCAACTACAGTCATCATATTTTGTCAACGCAACCATTTAATCCACTCAACTCTTGTGGTTTATTTAAAATAAATCAACATTTAGGCACAGCAGGTCCTTTGAATTCTAATCATGTAGTTCAATGGGTTGTAAAAACACAATTCAAAACATTCACCAAGAGACTTTGATGAAATACCAACTGCTTTTCACCTTAACAAATTATACATGGTTTTAAATTTGCCTGCTGGTTGCAATGCCATCAACAAACTCTCTTGCACCTGATACCCAAGTTTTTACAACACAAACCAGAGTGGCCACAAAGCATTGTATGAAGAATGAGATTTCATCTGAATTAGTTAATTTTGGTGATCATAAGCACCAAATTCGAAAATTCAAAAAAAAGTTTATTCAAAGTTCTTGAAATTAGGGTCTTAAGAAGTCATAGAAAGAAGGTTGTCATTTAGAGAGAGTAGGGAGGCAAAAACACACAAGAAATATTAAATACCCAGCATTTTATTGGGATTAATGACAGGACCAACTGCTTCATTCAGTTATAATAAGTCTGAAAAATTGGAATGGAAGGAACTTTTAACCCTGGTGTTACCAAATCAATCATACGACCTGGTCCTGTACATTTTTTAATAATAATATTCTAGGAAAAGTCTGTCCAAAATAAATTTCAACATGGACAGCTTAGTGTACAAAGAGTCCTGTAATGCATCAACTATATTGACACAGATTACAAAATTAAAAAATGACTGTATCCTAGTATTTTCATTATACAAGATAACCACAATTGTTTCATTGCATATTACTTATGTATATAAAAGCTTCAAATTTAAGAAATTACATAAATTAAAACTTCAAAGAAAGAAAGTGCATTATTTAAATATTACCACAAAAATTATCAAATCTCAAAATATAAACAAACTCTATACACCATCCACACAACTTCATAGCATTGCTATGCAACAGAAATAAACTTCTCGAAAAAGAATGTATTCACAAAAATGAAGTGGAGCAACCCAAATATAATTTGAGTGATCAACAAAAATAGTAAAACTCTAAATGACCTTTAAATGCCATTCCAAGCTACATCTGAGGTAGTTGATCAATAGGAGTGGCAAATTTGAAATCCTCAGGAAATAATTTTATAGCATGAGGATACATTAACTTATAAGACTGACGAATGGTGACATCAGCTACACCAGCAATATCTCCAATTTCTTTCTGGCTTCGCTTGTCTTCAGATGCCTGAAAAACAATTGGAAATTAATTTAACACTTTCAGCAAAGAGTAATAAAAATGGTAATAGTAATTAGATCCAAATATGGCTACCAATTTGAATAGAAACAATCACAAAACCTTGGAGAGGTGGTGCTTTTTTGGGTCGTGAAGTCAAGAGGCGGCACAGGGTCCTTTTTGACCCATTATTATTTCATTATTATATAATAATTAAAAACAAATAACAATAAAATCATTATTTTATAAAATAATTAATTATATTACTAGCTATTAACACTGTACACATAAAGTAAACTTGCATGGTATCTAAATAATCAAAGTGTTGAAAATAGAAAATAATAGTATTAATATTAATTGAAAGCATTTTTAATGAAGTGTTTGTATTTACATTTCTCTTAAAAATGTACTATATAAAAAATATCAGATTCAGAATTTTATTTTCGAGCAATGACCCACACAAGTAACATAATACAATTTTTTGAAAGCAGCTTGTAAAAATCAAAGCAACATACTATGAATAATAAAATTAAATTCTTCAGCATTTGCATCAAGACATTTACGAATGAGTTATTACATCATAAGTGCCAAAACGAAAACTTGACAGTCACTTGAATGGTCACATAACTGCTTTCAATCAAAGTTTAGGCAAATATGCCAAAGCTCTTTCTTCTCATTGTTGGAACTGGCAAAGTCAAACAAACCTTTTTTGCAACTATTAATGATTCTGATGCAAGGAACCAGTCATTTCTGTGGAATATTTCCTGCATTCAGACTAAATGTAAAAAATGCAGTGAATTGTCTATGAAATGAGAAATATCTCTCTCGTAAAATGCTTAAACTACAACTCAGTACAGATATACAGAGACCACAAAAGAATTTACACTGCTTATCCCATTTTTTTCAACTCTTGTTCATTATCTGAAAGATTTGAGCTTAAAAGAACACACAAATTTCCTTGAAACCAACAGAAGAGTGCTGACACTTTTTCAAAAATCAGAAAATGTACTATTGATCTAATGCAACTGATAACTGAACAGTTTAAAGAGTTAGCTAAGCACTTCAAATCTGTCAACAGTGTCAAATGTTTTATTAAGCTACCTGCTCAATCCTTATACATTACATGTTTCCATGCTGCAGTAACACCTGCACGTGTCAAGGAACATTAATTTTAGCCGTGACTCCACAAAGACAAAGATAGGAATAACAAGAGAAGATTAAGAAATAAAGAGGAGATGATTTTTGAGAGTCATACATGTTATACGTGAACATACAAACTCTGCTACAAACCATACATTGTTACTTCCTTGTTCTGGTTAATTAATGAAAATATGTTTAACTTAACTATTTAACTATGCAAAGTGAAGTAATTTAACATATGTAAAAATGAATTAACTTTACTAATATGAAGAGTGCAAGCTTCATCACTGTAATGTTAACGGGCATAAGTAAATACAAAATAAATTAAGAAGATTGATTATGTCTGCGCACATCAACTGCTATGGCCACTAATCTTGTTAGTGTAAAAAATGTTTCATTACAGACTGTGATCCTCTCTACGCTGGAAGATGAGATCCAATGCCAACCCACACATCACCTTGCAGGGGACTTCCCCCTCCAGGTATCTTCCTCAGCAGGCACTGCCCTAGCCAGGACTGGTTCAAAGCTCCCAACTCACATCTCAACATGCGTGATAAGAGTAGCGCATGATGGCATCAGTAAGAGCGTGTAAGGAGAGAGGATAGGACAAGGTAGAGTAAGGAAAGATAGTGGCCAGTCTGTGCACCATGGCATTGACTCCTTAGAAAAACTACTGATTAGAGCACCCAGCCACTAGACAGAACCTGAATTTGACCTAGCAACTTTGGTTGCGTCTCAAGTTCATTACCGTAAAGACAAACACTAGGACCTTCTAATCAGGTTTGTTGCAGAGTCAACAGTTGTGCTGGCTCTGTGCGAACTCTGCCAATATTAAATAGAGAAAGAAAAAAGGAGATTTTGACTTGGTCCCCTCATGTGTCCTGTATTCAAGGAATGAATCTTATTCTATTCATTTCTTGCCTTTGAAGCCCTGGTATAGTGGACCCCCAACAGCTAATATTAAATAAAGTAGGTGAATTTCAATCAATTTTAGGTCAAAGGACTCACTTGTGAAGCCATGTAGATTGCAGCTGCAGCCACAGATATGGGAGAGCGGCCTGGAACAATATCAAGTTCCACGGCTTTGCGGGCAATATGAGTAGCAGCACGTTGCACCATATTTGGAAGTCCTGAAACATCCGAAATCTATTAACAAGAAGAAAAGAAAAAGACGAAGAAAAAAAAAAGAAAAAAGAAAAGAAAACAACCTTTGTACAACAATGTTTCATTAAGACACTGTCAATGAGTTTGCTATTCACACTTACCAAGGTTAGAGCAAAAACGAGACATAAAATCTCCAGTAGTAATCAGATCCACACTGGTTTCCAACGCCTTCAAAATTAACTTAAAGCAACGTCCAATCTCTTTTTTGCTTATTTTACTGACTGCACAAATCTCCTATGGACAATTTTTTACAATTTCAGTAATATTAATGATTAGCTGTATTTATAAACCACTTCACACACTATCTTTCCTTTGCTCTCATCACAGTGTTAATTTCCAAATATAGTTTAATTTTTAGTACTTTAAAACTTACTTTAAAAGTACGAGGCACTCCTTCTTGCCTACAAGCAATATACAGACATGCAGATGCAATTGCATCATTTGCCCTTCCTTTCAAGTTCTTTCCATCATGCACTTGTTTGAATAAGTTGTTGGCTCGATCCACTATTGTCTTTGGCAAGTTAATTCGATCAGCCATACTGTTGATTTCTCGGAATGCATTAATGAGGGCTCTATCTGAACTGCTCATCTGTAGATAGTCCATATGTATTAACAATTTATTAAAAGCCAAATATAGTCATTTACAGCTAAGAAACAAAACTCAATAGTACCATTAAATTTCTATTAAATTTGAAAGAAGATATTCATAATGTCTAACTACACATGACGACATATACCGTAAGAAAAACAAACTATAATATTCTGAAACAACCAACTTGTAAAATTACATTAGTACAAAGCCTACTCTGAAAACACCATAGGAAGCATTTTTCACGAAAGAATTGTAAAAAAAGCAAAATGTTTACGTACAGTTCTTCGATTCTGGTATTTTGAAACACCAAAACTATCAAAGGAAGCATCTCCTCGGCCTGGACCAATCATTGTTGACAAATCAGAGCCATTTAATAAAGGATTTTCTGGACCACCAACTCGAGAAGGATCATTGCCTGCTTTTTCATTACTAAATGTTCTCCATTCAGATCCAACATCGATCACCCTGCAAAGTTCAGCCAACTTAAGGACAAAACCTTTTCATGAAACAACTTAAGCTCAATGACATCAGATAATCCATTTCTGAATAAGTTATGTTTGCAAATTGATTTCAGGAGTGTGTGATGTAAAGAAAATTGTACAGTATTATAATTAGAAAATTTAAACCCATAAGTAAGCTCCTATTAATTTTGAATTTTTAGAAAAAAAAATTAAAGCAAACCATATTTCAAACAAATGTTCTCTATTCAACCTCAAAAAAATAAATATCAACATACCTGTCACCAACAACAAGGCCACATTCGGAGCAAATCTGATCGCCAGCACGATAATCCTCGATGAGAGGAGCATCTGGATGTGCATAGCAGCAGATTTTGTTGGTCTCAAATCTGCAGAGAGATGATACATTCAATTTTACTAATTAGTGAAACAGAATATACTGTTCCCCAATGAGAGAATAACTCAATACACAATCAAGATGCATTATACACATTTCTCACACTATTGTTTAGTTGAATTTACTTTACAGAGAGACTTTGTATATAAGACTGTATATAAGACTTAAGTTATTGATAGCCACTTTTGAGATAATTAACAAATAATTGAAATTATAACAATGCAAAATCATGGTGCAAGTAATATGCCGTATAATATGCTAAAGAGATATTGTTTGTAATATTTTTCATTTTCAAGGAATTTGGTCACCTTTTATATTTTAAATGGAACTATACATTTTTCTTATCAGCAATAGATAGAACATACAAAGAGGAATACAATGATGTAGTATATTTAGTATTTTGATAGTAATTTGAGTATAAAATTGGATTTTGACATGTGATTTTAAATTAACCTTAACAATCTCTGCGCCATGAAGACCACCTTCTCCGAAGGCAACAGTTGCGAGGGTTGCAACAAGATGTATAGTCCATTTAATATAAACTAGCATTTAAAAAAATTAATTTTATACTTGCATTACTATCAAAATACTACATATGATAAATCGTTGTATTATTTTTTTTATGATCTATCCACTGATGAAAAAAATATAATAGGTACATTTAAAAATCAAAGATGATTAATGATGGTGAATATTATTTCTGAAGATGATAATGAAGATGATTTCTCAAAAACTAAACATATTTCAAAAAATATCTCTTCGGCATATTTTTTGGTCCACAATTCTGCTTTGAGCAAAAACTGCACTTCAATAACAACAATCGTTTACAAGTTATGGGGGATGCACATAGTTGGTTGGACACGTGTTTAACCCTGAAAACCTCTTCAAAAATAACCCTTTAAAAATACAAATTACAACATGGAATTTAGTACCATAACATAATTTAACAGTATCATAATATGACCTCCTCCTATCGTTCAAGGTTCCAAAACTGAAGTTAACACAAGACTAGCACATTGCACATGGTGAGCAAGATTATGAACAATTGATAAAAAATAGACATTACGGGAATTCTCAAATTGGCTGGGCAATTGTTATGCCTTGTTTTGGAACAAGCTGTTGGGTTTTTACACAATCGGATGTAAAATTTCCATACACAAAATTCCTTGCAAAATGTAATTGAAGTAGAAAATAAAATAGCATTAATTGGAAATGAAATTATGGGTTTTATATTAAATAAAGATGACAGACTTTTATTGATAGGTTTGAATACTCACTAGTGGGCGGTTTTTACATTTCTTTAATATAATGAACACCAACTACAAACAATACTACTATAAGATTAACCCTACACATAAATTGGGTTAAATAGTGCTTAAAAATGTATTTTAACCACAAAGAAAAAAAAAAAGAATTATTAACCAAGAATATTAGCTAATTACTTACACAATGAATTTGAAAATAAAGTAATAAAATTAATCATTAAAAACAGTAATATGAACAAAAGAATTCAAAATATTTCAATTTTTTACCAACTGATTCTATTACACATAAAAGACCGAACAAAATTCTCGCTTTTCAAAACTCGAGTTGTAACGATAAAATCAAATTCAGCTGAATGTAACGTTTAAGTCATGAGCAACCTCCAAAATCGCGTAACTAAATATTATAGATTTATCTTTTAAAAACAAAAGCAAAGGCACAGTACTATTACAGAGAAAACCATATCGGAAGATACATTTTCACTTAACGTTATATCTTTAAAAGTCCAAGGCAACAGAACGCCATTAACGATTACTTTCTCGATCAAAATCTGAAATATTACTTTTCACAAAGGAACCACCTTCAATACTAACTCTGATACATAAGAATGGTACTATAAAAAGAAATCACAAACCTAGACGAATTAGACATTATGAAATTTTCCAATCTTTGTCACTGTCATAAGACGTATTAAAGTGCCATTTCCTGGAGTGGTGGGGCGTCGTCTGTACTACCGTCTGTTTGCTGCGTGTCACCAATTTCACAAGACAAATTGCCTTTTTGCTGGCAATCGTCGCAAACTGGCCTGCCCTCGATTTAACATACACAATGAATTAAACGAAAAGTTCAATGGCAGAGCACAATAACACCACCTTAGACAACGCAATATGCACAAACCCCCTCCCCTCGTTCCAGAGCACCCAAACAAGCTCTGCCTGTTTCTCAGCAAAACCACTCATGCAGGAGCGTGCAGGAGCGGGCAAGGCACTAACTGACATTAAAGTTTCTGGCGTATAGCGTTCCTTGTGGATTCAGTGCTGCCCTCATAATATTGACATCAAAACAATGAAGACGACACATATTGCAGAGTCTTTCGTTAGTTTGGGGACGTTGGAAATAAGGATTGTTGTGAATTAATGTATTCTTTAAAACAATTAGCCCTTACCAGAGCTACATCACTGCGTAACGGCCAATTGCGAATTCTGCACCCAAATTGAATCTCACCAAATCCGCTATTTGGATGGCAAGAAAGCGCGGGAATTCAAATATTGCTCTTCCCTTGCGGAGAAAATACGAGTTATACATACTTAAAATTGGCTCTTCTAATTCATTTAGTGTTATTCTTAATATAAAATTCCAGACCTCTAATATTTCCTTCCTGCTTTCTGTTCAAGCCTATAACTTCTGTTACACTGTTTCTAGTTTCACCTATCTGTAAATTCTAAATTCTTGGTTTACTCCATTCACTCCGTACTACAACTGATTATTTTCACTTCCTCTTATTTGTACCTTTTTTATAGATTTATTGTGAAATCTGTTTTATTGCTACAACACTCATGATTTCGCTGCTTATTTCGTCCAATTATCAGTTTTTACTTTCTCGTTTATGTACGTTATACGGAGTAATTATACGTAGTATAGGGAAAGTTATGAAATGCTGCGAAAAATCGATTTCGACGGTCACATCGTCACAACTGCACACGAGCCAATGAGAGGCAGCGTGGGAATAGTATGGCCTAAACCACAGACGTTTTCCCAAAATTGATATTCGCCTGTCGATTTGAACGAACTCGAGGACCTGCGAGTTTGAAAGGGATATTTTAAATTGTGGGGTACTTTAAATGAGACTGAATTTTTGAAAATTGCCAAAGTCCAATATTTTTTCGGCTTCTTTCCATAATATTGAAGACAATTTCTTCCTTAATAATATCAGTTCTTCCAAAGCATCTCGGAATAAATTCTTGTAACATTTTTCGAAAATGAGTAGTTTTAGCTTAATTTGGCTGAAAATATGTTTTGTGAAATAGACAAATTTTAAATAATTAATTTCTCTAATATATATTATATTATATGAGACTTCACGTTATGTCGTGTTTTTTACAATCAGTCAATTAAATGGAAATGATGGAAATTGTATTTATATTAAAAAAATACGAAACATAAAAGCAGTGTTATCAATATTGAAAAAATGAAAGCTATGTTTACGGAGATATCAACGAATAAAGACAGCATATTTATAACTTCATTTTACAGATTGCATGATTTGGAAATCACTGACTTTATTAACGAACTCAAAGAACATCTAATTTATCAACGTAACCTTAAAAATCATCTTATTATTAGTGACATGAATTTATATTTATTAAAAAATGATAATTTAGTTACTAAATATGTGAGTGGTTTTTATGAATCTGGTTATATCTCTTATATAAATATTCCAACAAGAGTCGTCGGAGACTAGAGTACTTGTATTGACCATATTTTTGGTAAAATCGATACAAGTATAACGGTTAAACCGTTTGTGACCTAGATCTGACAGACTATCAAGCAACGATACTATTAGTAAATGCAGACAAAAAATTACATGATAATACTAAAGAACATATACTAAAATCTAAAACTAATTTCAGAAAGCTTCTAAACATTATAAATAATACAAATTGGAATTGTGTTTATACAGAAGAAAATGTAAATAAAGCAGTTTTTAATGTCATTCAAATTGTACAGAATGCCATCAATAAATCTAAAGTAACATTGAAATTGAACTCCAAAACTAAACCTAGGAAACCATGGATTACAAAAGCATTAATTAAATCTTGTAAAATTAAAAACCATTTATATAAACAAACAAGATCATATCCGCATGATAATACTACTAAAGATAGGTATCTTAATTACAAAAAAAGGTTAGACGTATAAATTTAAATTGGTAAAGACTTATTATAATGTTATTCTGAAAGAAATATCCGGCAATGTGAAACATTTATGGAATTTCATTAATGCAACACTTGCCAAAAAGAAAAATCATAATACACTAATTAAAAAATTGTTTCATGATGTCAATGGTATTTTCATTGAAAATGATATTGACATTGCAAACAAACTTAATGACTTTTTTGTTGAAGTTGGTCCCGATATGGCTAAAAATCTGGATGTTATAATGACTGAGACTACTTTGATTTCTGATCGATCCCGTGCATATTCTATTTTTCTTAATCCTGCTACGGGGCAAGAAATATTGAATACTCTAAACACCATGAACAGTCAAAAGTCTGCGGGTGTCGATCAAATCTTGATTTCAGTCATTAAACATGTGTCAAACAAGTCATTCCTGAACACTTTAAAAAAAGGTGAGATTATTTCAATCTACAAATCAGGCGATATAAATAGAACCACTAATTACCGATCTATCTCACTAATCTCAAAGTTTGCGAAAATATTTGAAAAGTTATTGAAAGTTAGATTTGAAAACTACATAAATAAACATTATATTATAAACCAATTCCAATTTCGTTTTCGAAAGGGTAAAAATACTGAAGATTAAGTATGTAACAAGACAGATTTGTATTTCTATAGATAAGAGTATGCCCTGCATATCTATTTATCTGGATTTGGCTAAAGCATTTGATACTGTCAATCATGAATTGCTACTAAAGAAGCTCTGTAGATAGGGTTTTCGTGGAATTACTTATGATTTGATTAAAACTTACATAACTAAGCGCAAACAAGTAGTGAAAATAAAAAACCTTACTAGTAAAGGACGAGTGGTCACTTGTGGAGTTCTGCAAGGAACAATATCGGGACCACTATTTTTTATATTCTATACATGAATGACATATTTCTCACCTTGCCAAAGGAAGATTTAATATCTTTTGCTGACGATACTTGTGGTTAGAAGTTAATGGTACATCATAGACTGATGTTCTTCAAAGAGTTGAAATCAACCTAAATCTGTTAGCTAATTGATTACATGTAAACCATCTTAAGTCTTAATATAACAAAGACAGTATACTCTACATATGGCAGCTATTTGGATACATATAAATTCTTGCAATATACAAAACTGTACTTGTCCGGAGATCAAACGAGAATATCATACAAAATACCTGGGTATTCTTATAGATTGCAACTTAAAATGGGGTTACCATATATCAAAGATTGCAAATAAATTAAGATATCTCATTTATATTTTTTATAAAATTACTTAATTATTTAATACGAAACAACTTCTAACGATATATTATGCATTTTGTTGGTCTCTCGCTACGTATGGTATAATTGCATGGGGAGGAGCCTCTGCTAATTCCTTGAAACCTCCGAGTGATATTCAAAAACGAATTATTAAACTGATATTTGAAAAGGATAAAAAACACTCTTCAGAAATCTTATATAGAGAAAATAAAATAATTGATATTAGGAAATATTTTATGTTGAAGTCA